TTTCTTGACCTCGGCACTAGATGGGGTGAGTGGTCAGCAACACGCCCCGGCCGGCTTTACCCCCGGAAAAGGACCCCGGTGCCCATTGGATAGGACACTTTACTTTATTATGTTTATCACACAATTTCCTGATCATCGTTACGCTCCACTTTTACATACTGATTCGTCTTCGTAAAATAACAAAATCCTTAAGACAGTTACAATAATTTACATATATTTAAGGCCGTCCTTTGTATATTATTTTTCACTCATCTTTTGAAGTTAATTTTCTACTCGTTGCCCTGTCCATTCTCCCAGCATCCCTACGAACATGTCAAACGAGGGCCGTCACATTTACATAAAGATTCGAGTTACTCCAGCAGACCACTCATGTAATTGATTCAAGCTCTTGTTTCTCGTTTTCCTAATGGCAACTGAATGCAGCAAAGCCATTCTTTTCAGCTCATTGCGTATTCACTTGGCATCTTCGTCAGGCCATTGTTTCTACTTCAGTCTTGACTCCTCCCCCCTCATCAATATGGAACACTTTTTAAACTAAGCACTTTGATTGGCTGCTTGCGGTGTCGTTTGTTACTGCAGACAAGTTCTTGACCATCATTCCAACCTTGTCAACATCTCCAACTGTCATTCAGTCTCAAGAAATATTTATTATACATGGAGGTACAGGGCTCTGACAAGCTTCACCTCCCCAATCAACCATCTGATAGCCACTACACTCAGCTAGATAGTCAGACGCGGACTGTCCTCAAAATACGGTACCATCCTGCCCCTAGTGGAGACAGACTAACAAAAATGCTCAATTGGAATAGCGTATCATTATGGACGTTATAATGGATCAAAAGCGAGATGATAAGACGGACTGGGCAATTGTTCTTCTTTTTTTTCTTATTAATGATACTTTGTATAGAGTCTAATGGCTAAGTTATTGTACATACTGCTGTACAATTGGCCGGATTCATATCTATAGCGTGTCCTGACACCCCTAATAATGACCATACTCAGAGAGAGGTATTAATTAAAGTAATAATAACACCAATAATAATCCATGCTGTTTCTTTGTTGTTTCTTCCTGCATCCACTCACTTCTGTAACTTTTTATAATGTACACAGTGAGTGTTAAATGCTTTCGAATTGTTCGTTGCGCGTCCCAAACACGATTTTGAGGTCGTAAACATGTATTTTTTTAGTTCCTGGAGCTGTTTCAGTTTCAGGGTATCGTATTTAATAACAAAAATGTTCATAACAGTGATAATACTACAAATAATAACTTCGAGGCAATACGAAATAAAATATATTTGTAAGTAAAAATAATTTCTCCATTGTAATGCCTTTCACGAAATTAACATGGGATCAACATTTCAACATAAACAGAGTATACCTTGTTATAATGGCTGTTTTTGTTGGTGATGAAGTCCGATATTTATTCATGACAGTGGCCCCAGTACAAGGCTAAGTACGATTAAGTCCGCGTTGAGAATGGCCGACGGGCGGAAATAAGGAGTTATCTTGTTGAATGTCACACCGACCCCAGAGGCAAATCCAGACTTACGTTTGAGAACAGATCATCGGAAAAATGTTAATAAAACAGGCATAAAATTTAAACAGGATTGTTCATTATCCGAGCTTACATCCTTCTTATAGGGACATCTTTCTGCGGCTACCGTTATGATTTGATCGTTCGCGTGCATGGCCGCTTTCAAACACAAATTGAAAACATTGTATTAATGTTTCCATTCCAGAACAATAGAAATTATTAAGTGTAGAACTATAACTTTGTCATTTACTTTTCATGCCTGTCAAAAGTTGCGTCTTGTTTTAAAGGAAGAACAAACATGTTTACAGAATTTTAAAACAAAACATGCAATTTATACCAAAAAAAGATATATTCTGTTGTTGAATCTGCCTAAATTACGCATCGAGAAAGTGTGAGGTCTAACAGCTGCTAGGTTTTCGTCATCTCTTGGCATAACTTCTGTCCCTTTTATGTTTGAAAACATAAAAAATGACACTGCGCGCATTAAAGGCCACATAATAATAACTTTTACATGAGCGGGCGAGATGTCATTCGTCTTCTTCCGCTAAATTAGAAAATGATCCAAAAACATGCTTTTAAAAACCGATTGACCTTCACCCTTTCAACATAATCTTGACCTCTGGGGACTGCCTTCTTCGTCGTTACAATGTTGCCCTCTGCGTTATCATTTCTCTATCATCATAAACATTATAAGCCGAAATAATGATGGTGACATAACGTTGTCACAAATAATTTGTTTGCTGGCCCAACAAAATGTAAAAAAACCCGTTTTAACTGTTAGGTCAAGAGGTCGAAGCTTTTATGTCGCCCGAATTTTCTATTCATTAATCTAGTGTTGACGCCAATATAAAATGTAATACGAATGACTCCCTCCTTACACAAATAGGCCTATATGATTTCTGTAACCTCTTCTACAGTCCACGACTGTAATCTTGAGACTTGCTTGCAAGGAATGCACGGTCCGTAGCGTTAAAGGCAGACGCTATGTCTCCTCCTTCACCCCACTTTCTCACCCCGCAAGTCTCAAGATTACAGTCGTGGACTGTACTTAGAAATTTTAAATTACACATTAATTTGTTTCAGATTACCTCATTAAATTGATATTACGCCGTGTTTAACATGTTTTAAATCTTAACGTTGTTACCGTTTGTCAGCAACGGTAAAGTCGATGTTTCTGTTATCAATTACCTGATTTTTTAAGGAAAGCAGCGCAACTTAAATAACAAGTCTTTGAAATGGGACACGATAATGTTTGTCAAAGACACGCGTCTTCCATCAGTTTGAACCAACGTCGAGCAAGAGCACAATTGGATTTTAAGACAAGTCAGTTCCCTAAGATGAGAGATACGCAGGCCTACTTTTTTGCACAGGAAGTCGAAATGTACTGAAAGACCTCTGCCGCGTTAAATAATCCAAGGGAGGTTTAAAATGTGTGCAGTAGCGATGATATGAGGTCCACAGCGATGAACTTTATGTATTTGGAACATACACTAAATCGCGCACTTGCCATGTAGTCGGACCAACTAGCTCACACAGTGAAAGTGTATTAAAATTTAAATTGAAGTGTGGTTACTGGCTACAGTTAGCCATGAGGGATGACGCGACGATGAATGTTTCATGACCTTAGTAGCCGGCCTCAGGACGAGCCGTCTCTCCCAACCCCGTCTTTCCATCCAGGACAATGAAAGGGCATGGGGTCAGGAAGAGGGGGGAAATAGAATAAAATAGAATTCTAAGGCAAAAGAACGAGGTTGATGACCAAATATTTTACACGTGACTTTCAGAATAAAACATTAATACTGAGCAAATAATTAATTACAGTTATCGAACTGTCCTGGCAGTTGTAGACTAGGCTGTAGAATAAATTGTAGACTGGCATGTGGAAAGATTGTTACTTTCTCCGCCTCAGTGGGTAGCTCTTCCCTCCTTAACATTTATTTTTCAAAATACATACAATCTACTGTATTTTAAAACTGAGAAGTCACAGTTCCGGTCTAAATGTTTCGAAATAACTTAATAAAGGACGAGTAGCCGGTGGGTCCTTGGTACCACGAACCCAACGCTGATAACTGCTAATGCATCGGAGTCTGACAACGGATTATTTCTGTCGGTACCACAAATTAGTAACGGTGAGCTGGTACACGTCTTGATCCTGCTGTAAGTCGTCACTGCAGCATCATCATCATCATCTCGACATTCTCCTGTGGTTACAGCCAACCGAATGCTTTCCCAAGCAAAGTCTGGGACCACCACAGAGTCTGAAGCCACAGACTTACTTGGTTCCGGTAGATGACTACATCGGTTATTAATTGCAAGGCTATTTCTTTTTGCGTCTATTGTACAGCCTTTAACATGTTTACAACCAGTTTTGTTGAAGATGGTTGCTGTCAATAGACTAGCTTTTCACTGCTGCCAACATAGGATAGAGTTTGTAACAGCCCAAAGATCGCACATGATGTCAGTGGACGGTTTAATCCTTTCAACTCATATTGCCTGCCTAAATGACTAATAATGGGGTATTCCACTTAGAAATATGTATTATGGGTTTCTTTACTTTTCTAGAATAAACAGCTATTTCCTAGCTTTCATGTTAGTAACTCGCCTGATCAAATTAATGGGAGGGTAATTCTAAGTACGGTTTTAAACAGGTGAGGCACGGAAACGAAGCCCGTGTCCCACTGGATAAGAGGCTGGGTGGGCCCAAGATCCGGTTTGGAAGCAGAGGCAAGAACAAAAATCTTTCGCCCCCGATTCGAACCCCTATACTGATAGATACCGTGGTTCATCCAACCAGACACACCTCATTTAAAAAGGTTGTAGTCAGCAGTTTGCTTTGAACATTTTACTCTTGGTGTGCGAAAAGTATTTATTAAATGGTAGGATGCTGAGAATCTTGTGTCTGATGTTACAACCCATTGTCGCTGATTACATGTCTTAATTACTTATCAAATTATCTGAGTCGTTATGTATTAAAACAGCTGATTATAAAAAGCTCATGTATAAACAGTGACTTCTAACCTCACTGACTTCATAGAATGAATAAAGCTGCCTGTACTGGTTCAATGACCCAGTGTCAGTATCTGAGGTTCGCTTGTGGAGTGACAGAGCCACAAAACATTTCAAGTAACACGAAAAATAATTTTCAAAATGGATTCAGTGAGCAGAAAATGTAATAATTCTGAATACGTGAATTACCGTTTGAAGTATATCAAGTATAAAGCACTGACGATTAATAAATTATAGGCTTAATTGATGTAAAATTAATAATTTTCAATAAATAAAAATTATTGGGCTACAGAACTTTTGATCCTTGAAAAATATTATATTACTGTTTGTGGTCACCGCATTTCCAAAATTTACACACAAACACGTTACATTCCGTACCTGACGCTTTCTGTTCTAAGAAACTACACACACACACACACACACACACACACACACACACACACACAGTTTATCCTTTGTGAAAAGGAAGCCATCTACAGCCACTTACAAAGCACAAAACTGACCTCAGCAAGCACTACTGAACTTATGTGTCATTTAATCCAAGCGTTTACGTGGCGTTTTATTACAGAGTTGTCTCATTTTGTTTCTCAAATATGGTGGTATTCCGTATTACGAGCTTATTCCATATATACTGCCCTTCGTCCAGTGAATTTTAATCACACTGCCCACAGACATATAGATTACGATAAGAAAAAGCTATTAAAAATTATGCTAACCTGATGAGAAGAAGCAAAACAGGTCAAGTTCATGACAGCTCAGTAGGGGTGTCGCGGAGTTCAGCGGGGTTCCAACATGGGGCCCCCTCTGCGGGCTGCACTAGACCACAGAGACTTCGTGCTCTGCAGAAACAAAGAGAAGCCGATAACTAGTAAGCAGATAGGTATAATGGAAACAAAAAGAAATCCTTGTCTCAGCAGGACGTCTTTGAAAACCGGGGACTGTGCTTCGTGTTTGAGGCTACACTGTAAATTAAAAAGAAAGAACAAGGGTTTTTTTCTTTTCCGGTTTTTTTCTTATCTTCTCCTTCTACCCCGAGCTCCTGAAAGTAGGTTATTATTTCAACTCAACATATAGCACACAGAAATTATTAAATTCAACCGAAATACTGGCAGAACTTCAAAGGCGAGATGTCAGGTGTTTACGGCGACTAGCAGAAAAATTACAATCTTTTGCTATGAGACGTCTTGTGTACTGGCCTCCAACTCCTGATGATGGAGGCAGTAAGACCTATGAAACCTCGATCAATATCTAACAGACTACACGGTGCTACATCCTAGAGGACAGCCACCTTCAGAACATACAAAGGTTTATAAAATGAATAATTAATTTTTTTGTTGTCATTGATGATTACATCTAGACCTGAAAATGAAAAAAATAACAAAAAACTAAAAAAATTGCATAATTAAAGCTTAATAATTTGTACCTTCGTCAGCATAGTAAAGGGGATCACTTAGGGGACATGAGCTAAGTTGGACACACAGGAGGCATGGAACTGATGCGAAATTCGCAAAGAACTTTTATCGGGAAATCTTACGCTGAGTTCAAGTGAGAATTCAACTAAAATGGATCTTAAGGAAACAGAATATCAGAATGTTGATAAAATGGCTTCTTGTGACCAAGTATAAGTACCAGTGGCGTGCTCTTATACAAACGATTATGAAACCCTGACTTCTAGAATCGGCGAGGAATGTGATCAGCCGAGCGACTGTTAGCTTCTCAAAAAGGCTTCTGCTACATGAAGTTGGTTATTTTAATGTGATGTAGATAAGTTACATAATTTTTAACTATAGCTGACGGGGTGTGGAACTGTCCAGAAATATCAGATATCGTCATTAACACAAACAAGGCAACAACTTAAAAAATTAAACAAACAGGCTTACGTTACTTTTATACGAACTCGGTGCCGTGAGTGAGTCCTACTCGTGGGATCCACATTTGTTGTTATCCATACCGCAACCACTAAGAACAGTACAGATGATTACTGAGAATTAAACGAGAAGGACAATTACAAACAAAATTCTCGAAGAGTTACTTCCATAAAGATATCATTCCTTTGCGTCGTAACGTGGCTTGTTTAATAATTTTAAGTAAAAATATGTTTTTCGCTTATTTAAGTTTGTTTGCTGTTTAGTTACTGAAAAGAGTGTTTTTCCTTTCTCACTAACACCACATAAATTCTTGGATAACGCAAAAAACAATATGTATTAATTACGTTATATCAGGGGTAGACAAAAACAAAGTTTTGTGCTAGAGATTATTCGACGTGAGGTTAATGAACTCAATAAAAATAAAGTATGCATTGAAATTAATCCTTTTTGAGCAGCTGAAGTCGCTCAGTTGACAAAGAAATTCCCAGCCCTTTATGAAACCCGAAAGTTAATTACCGTTTTAAGAAGAACCTCACACTGTATCCAAACAGAGCCAATGAATACAGTCCATCCGTTACGTTGTGTAGAATCACTACATAAGTGTGACTGAAATAACCGATATGTGAGTAGTGACAGACAGAGTTATCACCAGCAATCTTGATGATACGTAGTCCTCATCTGCAAGCAGTCAGCCTTGATATGACTGCACATACCCCCCTTTTCGAACCACTCTTGGCCACCAATCACATCATTATATTATAATTCATTATGAGACCATAATTATCGATAATCTACTAGTAGAAATTCAACGAGTCTATAAATCTGACACGATTCTAACACTAATTTAGACTGTTAACATATTTTATATTTCAATTTTTGAAAAAGCCGTTCGTAATAATTATATACTAAAATAACTAACAACTTCCCCCAGTGTAAATCGTAATTAGCATTAACATTGATGATTATATATAGAACCATACTCGATCACAAAATTAGCTGTTTTATTATATCATTAAGCATGTAAGAAATGGACTATAGATCATGCTGGCCAGTGACGGATGTGTGTTGTGTAAGAATTATTAATGATAGATTACTATCACGTGACTAATTATCTGTTGTTTCAAATACGGATAAATTTATGGCCTTCAGTCTGCCGACTCTGTCCTGTATGTTAAAAGTTATAAATGTTCAAAGTTCAGACAATTTATTTATTTAATTCATGTAGAATGTGATACATTTAAATCGCGTACGTATCATGATTCCATGCTTCAGGCAAGATGCTTACAACTGATATTTGTAAGTATAAAATACTTTTCACGACATTTGAAGCTGAAACATTTCCTTTAACCCTTCTGAAGGCGAAGTTCATTTAAATAATATTTAAGTACTTAATCCTTACCGTACGTAAACACAACTCATCACCATCACACATATCAACTGATTAACCCTGTTACAGGAATTCGTCGTTAATGATCCTGAAAATCACGCGAAACCCCAATTTACACTCAATATCCAGAGCACAGGATTATTTATTGTTGAAGTAGGTGGTACCATGAGGACAAGGACGAAGATGGTTCTTTAACAGTTGTTTTTTTCTACATTAAGCCACCTTACAAGGCTGGTAGCTCGAGAAGATTTTATTACACTTCGTCGCCGTGAAAACTTCAGATCACACAGGTGGTACATATAGTTACCAAGGGGTTTTAAAGGATAAAATAAGAAACCTAGCAACCAATCATTTTTCTTCATATCAGAGATGTGGAAGGAAACATAAACAAGTACAAGAACTTCATAAATTAAAGCATTATGATGGCGGCTTCACTGATATACCCATAATTAAAGAGCGTACACGCACGTGTATATAGCACACATGCTAAAACACTGTGCACTTTATAATTGTAAGGCAATGCTAGCATAAAGCAATTCCTTGCTTATACAAGTTAATTTTAGCTTTCAGCAACTACAGCCCACGTTTAAAACCTTTATCTCTGCAGAGAAACTTCATTACATTCTAGGTCCTTCCACGTTCATACAGTATCATTGACTTTTGTCACAGGATTAATTAATCACGCATGTAATAACAGCGCTAGATGCCCTCTGTACAGTTTCTAGATTAAAGAACACACACACACAGCACACGGAAATGCCAGTTGCAGTGGCGGAATGTCATATAACAATGAATTGGTGTCCTTATATTATAACGAAAATACGAAATGACAATTTTTTATTTTCCGTAGTAAGTCTATACTCCGAAAGTTTGGGAGTCTTAAACTTTACGCGGTTGGGTTCTTAAATTGTTGTTGTTATTAGCGGTTAGCCACACGCTACTGACACGCCTGCTTTAAAAACTCCATTCATATTAGACATGAAGCCTCTACTCTTTAAATTATTTCCGCTCTTAACAAACATGACGCTACTGAAAATGCTATATCATTCAGTGAGGGCAGTTAGGTAATTCTGTAACAGTAACTTGATTTACAAATATGTGGGTCTACAGTTTATTCAGTTATTGTAATGGGCCTAAATAACGGTAATAAAATTAATAAGGTTAATAATAATGTATTTCTTATTATATTGTCATAATAAATATGAATATTTGATTGGCGTTTAATTTGTATGCTAGGATTGTGTCGTTCGAATTTCGGCCATCGTCTGTCTAGCAGACTCGAATTATCGGTCCCTTAAGACGATGTTGCTATAAGATAGCCATCCGATTTCCTTCGACATGTAACTGAAATTATGATTAAAAAGTTTATTACCGTATTTACAAGTGCCACCACCAGACCTATCAAGAGCCAGTTAAATCCACTGAAAGTCTCTCTCCAAGTCTAATGTTTCGTAACATAAATTATTTATTTATAGTTTATTTAACGATGCTTTTTCAGTAGCCCACACTACATAGCGCCGAATGAGAAAACGATAGTTAATAATGAATTGGAAAAATGTGGAAGGAAGCGGTCGTAATGCGTGCTTATATATCATATATTTAAAATGATTGTGCCATTAATATTACCAACAGCTCGTTCAAACTCGCGAAGAATGTCTTTGAAGAGACGTGACACACCGAGAGAACATTACATGACAGTTAGCTTCTGAAATGTTGCATTGTGTAGTGTGGTAGATACTGGTCGACGTTTCAGATGCTTTTACTATCTCCGTCATCAGAGTGATATCTACCAGACTACAAGGTACAACATAATAAAAACCATCTTCTGAGTTGTCGCCGTGAGAACCTGAAATCTCAACGACACAGCACCAACTTATTATGTACCGCTAAGTTATGTGAAATATTCTGTAAGAGAATAAAACGTTAATTTCGTCGCTTTAGCTCTTGTCAGCAGTAAACATGAATTCAAGTGAAATAAAAATCAGAACTGAAGACGCCACAGAGCAAATTACAGCCATTAGGCCTATATCGTTTGTTGTAACTATCTACACAACGTGTTATCAGTTAACACTAATTATATGCTGAGCTTAATTGGGTGCATGTTTCGACAACAAAGTGTTATCATGTGACATAGCCTTATCTTTAACTAATGTCCTGCGCCAAGTTGTCAACTGCTAACGCATTGTGCAGATAGTTACAACAAATAATATAATTTAAATAAA